GCAAATACGTTGTCCTTGGGGAGAAAAGTGATACCTTCGGGCCTTTGGTGGAAGCGCTGCACTCATGTCATGGAAGGGGTAAGGGTGGAGGGGGAAGAACTCTCAAAATCTATTCGTCAATTCATACGAATGGAATTGCTCGCGCAATGGCAGAAGATTCAACAAAAGAATGCAAATCATGTCACAGAAAAAAAGATTATCTTGAAAGAAATAAACAAATCCGATAATGACTGGCTCAGTGGGCAAAAAGTGGGGTGGATAGCATCGGTGGAATGGGAGGGGCAGGAAGGAGATGGGACAACCACACCCAAGAGGGATTAGAAGCTGATATTCAATGATTGGATGTGATGTAAGCGAGTACAACACATAGGCTACTTTCTATTCGAATACAACGCATATGCTGCTACTTTCTATTCGAATACAACGCATAATATTGCCTTGTATTCAAATTTTCGAATTCTTTGAAAACTCGAATACTTCGGGGGAAGACGGTAGCATCATTGTTATGACTGTTGTGAGTATTACCTTCTTCCCCCGAATACAGTGTACGGTCATTATAGCTGTATCTAGACTGAAAGATGCCTCAAATACAACTATAATGACCGTAGTACGTTGGATTCCGGGGAAGAAGGTAGGTGGACTGGAGTCAGGCGGAAGAGGAATGGGGGCGGGATGACCTCTTAAACCACCAGTACATGGGCACCTGGGCCGCGGGTTTGACACCTCAAATTCTGGAGGCGCAAAATGAAAGCGGGGCCACCGATCGACCTTATCAACGGGGGGGGCATTGTTTGACGTTTAAGCCTCGTTTTCTTGTGGCGACAAGTTTTGGACTGCAAGGCTAGGGCCGTGTACTTTTATTTTTTTTTTTTTTTTTTTTTTTTTTTTTTTTTTTTTTGGTTTAAGTGTACTACAGTAAGATCCAGCCTCAAGCGAGGCACAAGGTAGTTAGGCCACAGAGGACCCTGCCTGGTTGAGCACTTATGAGAATCAGGTGGCCTTAGGATAGGCTGAAGAGGCAGGGAACTCATGTGTCACTACAACATCGATCAATGCAATTGCTAGAAGGGATGCTGAACCCGTTTTTCCGGCAGGTGCTGCTCCCCACCACTAGATTGGAGCCATTGACACCGGGATGCCAGCAGAGACTGCTCATACCACCCCTGATAGCAACACCGGAAGATGCTTTAAAAACACAAGAAAGGAGGGTGCGGAAGTGAAGGGACGGAATTGTTGCAGATCACCCCCGTCCACAAGGAAAGGATGGAAGCGTAATGGGTACACAGTCAACAAAGGGGACAATACAGACACTAAAATGGAGGTCCTACCCGAGAGCGTAGCTCAGTGGGTACACCCATGAACTGTTGAAATACAGACCCGAGTTCAAATCCAGATGATGGAACTTGATGAGTAAAACCAAATATGTATGAATTGCCTGGGGCCGGTCAGCTCAATGATGATATCTCAAGGCCGTCGCCCTTTAAAAAAAAAAGAAAAAAAAGAAATAGAAAATCCAAAATCTGACTCCCCGTTGGATACGGAGAGCATTCAATGCCTGCCAGCCCTTTCGGTTTCAGGGCTCCAGTGTAACGTTGCCACTCTCCAGAATGTATCNTTTTTTTTTTTTTTTTTTTTTTTTTTTTTTTGATGGAGGTCCTACGGATACACAGCTGTAGCTCAGCAGCAGGTTGGAGCTCTGGCATTGCAATGGGGAAGATGAGGGTCCGATTCTGTCGAACCTCAACCTCCCTCGCACATGATCAGTCGGTGCTAGTTTGGCATCCCATGTAGCACAGTAGGCCAAGCTGAGCTGTGATATGAAAGAGATTGAGGGTTCAATTTGTGACCAAGATTGTAGAGTCTGGAGACAGTTGGGCCGCAGTCAAGGGATATAGTGGAGTGGAGGGTCATGCAGTTGGATGTCTTAGTGCTTTGCTTCGCAGGTTAGGCACTGCTAGGCCATGGGCTGGGAACAGGGATAGGGCCCAGGGAGCATCGCTCTGTAGAGGGGTGATCATGGAGGGCGGTGATGTCCTCAGAGGGAGTGAGTGGAAACTGGCGATGTAGTCACTTTATATTGTGAGGAAGTGGGTGGGGTTTGTGGGGCCTGCACCTGTATGGGTCGAGTGTGATGGATGGGATGGGCAGGCATGGACCCCTGTCATGTGGGTGGCAGGGTAGTAGCTTAGACAAGCGCCCCCGTGGAACAGAATATAGGGCACAATCGACATATTAAGCACATTAACACAGTGACTACATAAAAATGAAGGCTCGCATCGCAGAATACTACAACTACATTAAATGACTAAAAGCCTAGTAAAAGGGGTCTAGAGAACGACTCAGTGGAACAGGGGTTGGTAAAAGGCAGCATGGCTGTGTTCCTTCTGGAAACTTGAGGAAAGTGCATAAGCCATTTTAGGCGATGTTGAGCCCACACACTCGCAACATAGTAACCACAACAACTGGACAGCTGTGCTCAGTGGCCAGACAAAGGCAGCAGCATCACCTTCAGCAAAAGATGATTGATTACTGAAATGGGCAGATCAATATCAGAGGTACAGTCCTTCGGGACATCCGTTAAAATTGGAACGATACAGAGAAGATTAGCATGGCCCCTGAGCGCAAGGATGACACGCATAAATCGAGAAATGGTCCAATTTTTTATTAAAACAAAATAAAATAAAATTAGAGGTACAGGGTCAGATTATGCACAATAGGGGTCTGTCAGACCCTCCTCCTCTCCACATAGAGTGCAGCTAGAGGACTGACCAGACAGCTACTACCATCTTCACCCAAATAGAACAGCCGGTCATTATAGCTGTACTTAAGTCACCTTTCAGTCCAGATACAGTGATTACAGCCGGGCGTTCTATTCAGGTGAAGACGGTAGTTCTTGTCACGGAACACTGCCGGAACACAGCTCCTGCGGTTCACGTTGCACACATCGGTTTACAAATTCTTGTGACACACTGGGACGCGGGACCCAATTTCCAGCAGGTGCAGCTCCCCACCAACAGATGGAGCCTTCAATACTGGGGACCCGCTTAAACCACCTGGTCCAGTACATGACCCCAGGCAACTGGAGAACGCGTTTTGAGCCTCTCTGAAAAATTTAGGAGGCTTAGCGCTGTAGATAAGATGAATTGGTGGCAGACGGCCTCCGAAAGGGGCCCGCGGCCGATAGCTGGCATGTATGGGTGCTTTAAAGGGGATCCTCTTACCACCTCGTTAAAGGGGCTCCCAGGGCCTGAAGGTTTTTTTTTTTTTTTTTTTTAAACAAGCACTAGACCTTGACTAAGGAGGGGGGCATTAGACACTGCCTGTGAGACGTAGGGCCTGTACTGTAAGAGTATCCGGCACTGGAGAGCCAAGGTAAGCAAAACTCAGGGGACAAACAGGGGCCACCCATAGGACGTGTAGAAAAAAAAGAGCCGTTGAATGCTTGTGCCTAGCATCCGAAGTTCCCGTATGACGAAGCTCATCCGATTAAGCTTCAATCTGGGCTGACTAGGGCTCCTGCTCAGCCCTAGTGCCTACAACCGCTGTCCTGTTAGGTCACCCAAGCTTAAACCACCAGTACTTGGCCCAGCTATCGGCCGCGGCGCTTCCCCGTTAATGCGCCGCGGCATTCGGGCTTCGGCCTACCGGACCGCATTGGCTGGAGGCCACTGCCAAAATGAAAACGAAAAAGACCGACGGCGGTTCGGCAGGACTTGGCGCACAGGGGGCTGGGAGGCTCGGCTTCGATAGCTGGGCCAAGTACTGGTGGTTTAAGACAGCAGAACTTGAAGGGTGATAGTCCTGGGTAGTAGATACTGAGGTAGAACCGGGGAGTAGGGGTACGCCGGGCAAATCGATGAGAGGGATGGTCGCACATTGGTCTGTGGGCAGTTTTAGAAGAGGTGGGTCCCCTAAAAAAATAAATAAAGGAAGGATACGTTGATAAGCATCCAGACTGATGCCCTGCAGAATAGAAGGGGCTGGGAGTTTTTTTGGGAAAAATAAAATAAAAATAAAAATGAAAATGAAAATAAAAGTAATAAAATAAAAGTAATAAAATAAAAATAAAAGTAATAAAATAAAAATAAAAGTAATAAAATAAAAATAAAAATAAAAATAAAAAGTAAAATAAAATAATACCGTAATATTGATATGGTGGATAACAAGGAACAACGAACGTTGTATTGTAAAAAGGGACACAGAACCCAGTTTCCAGCAGATGAGGCTCCTTGTCTCTTGTCTCTGTGGAACTGTCGCTCATGAACAGATAAGTGCTGCTCGACACTGTGAGTCCTTGAGGTGTGCTGTGCCAGAATTTGCCGATGGACGGAGATGGCCCACGTGCTGCGCAAAAGGGCAAACGAAAACGAAGACCATGGCGCCTGGCCAAAGCAGCGCGTAAGAGTAAAGCACAGCGTAGCTGTTGCGAGAACGATGGGATTATGCAGGGAGATGGTGGGCCCGCTAAACATGTCGATTGGGAAGGAGACCGGTGTCAAGGTTGCGGGAGAGGGTGGGGGAGAGGATCTCTTGCAGACGACGGAAGAAATCAGGAAGTTCGTCATCCCTCTGGATCCTACGGACCAACTTCTCGTCGTGGAAGTTGGTCTGGTAATCCAGCATCCGGAAACTTCGGTGTCGACATGTTCTTGAAACTCTCTTCTTGGTCAAATCAGCACCAGATGCGACGGTTCGTCCAGGCTGCGCTGTCGGAGCCAGATGTCTCTGATGTTGCAGTGCAGCTTGGGTCAGATGCCAGTGCTGAAAGAAACCTGATGCGCAGCATTTGTGAACAGGCAGTGTCCGTTGGTCCTGCAACATCCATAGCTGCTGGCACTCGGGCTGTGCCCGTGTCATTCCAAGCGGTAATTGTACCATTGTTGTATCTCCTGTCCAAGCCTGAATTTTATAACTGCCCGGCATCAGATGCAGTCAACGGCATTTATGCAGCAACCAATAGTGTGAAGGGGTTCAGCGAATATGTTCTTGATTGCTTGAGATTGATTACAGAAAGGTGGAAGGTCAAGGATGCTTCTACGGCATGATCTCATTGCCCCGCTCAAGGAAAAGGTGCTGATCTTTGCTTATCTTTATGGAGAGGCTCGGCAGCAAATGTCATTGATTTTGCATCGTGGAAAAGTGATGGGAAGAAGGGGTGGGAGTCAGGGAAGCTCCCTCATGTCTGTCGATAGGGAGATACCACACTCGTCTTTGTCAAGAAGGGGGGCATTGTTCGGTGGGACGCCCGTCGAAGATGTTGAAATTTTCATGTTCAGGAACATTGCTGTCAAGGCTGTGTGCGCCGACCAGGCCTCAGGGATATACTACTGGGTGGAGTTCGATGACATCCTTCCACGCGACATGTCAGCAAACGATAGAAAGGCTTTTTGGGACAGGAGCAGACGGCTGCAGCATGGGTCGCTGGTCTGCCTCTGTCGGTCAGAGAACAGCAGAAAGACTGACTCTGACGCAACTCAGGGTCAGGAGGTGAGAGGGATGCCTACAGTGCTGCTATTTGGCACAATATCTGTTCGAGATGTCGAGCAGTTGGCGCAAAGCGCCACAACAGGAAGGATTCAAGTGGGGATATCCATGTGCGGGAGTCAGTCCTTTAGTGAAAAGGCGATGGAGTTGCTTTCAGAGACCTTGCCAAAGCACCAACGATATGGCTGGCAGCGCGGAGCTGCCGCCCAGAATAATGGGCCTGGAATCACAGATGAAAACAACTGCAGCGGCCAAGAAGGGAGGGGGGAGAAGAAGGGGTGGTATCCTTATGAGTCAGGCATTGTAATGCTGGAAGCAGCGTCAAACTACTTCGCTTACGAGCCAGTGTTGAAGGCGTTGCAGACACACACCGAGCTATCAATGCCTTTCGCAGAGTATCTTTGTGGCCCTGGGCAAGCACATCCACACCTCTCCCTCCCTGACTACGTCTCTGAGAACACCATGTATGATCTCCAGCCACAGAAATACTTGCGTGATGGGGAGGAGAAAGGGCAGGGCTCTCCATGCGCCGATTTTGCTTCAGTTGAATCAATCACTGATGATGATGCAATTGGTCTCTCAGCTTATGGCGGTAATTCATCCTCTCCGTCTCCGACAAATGTGTCCTCTACCCTCTGGGGTGATTCCGGGACCGCCAGCGCCGCTCGTAAACCCGGAATCCAGATTGACCTGAAGACCGTGCCCATAAATCGTCCGGATGATTTTCCTGTTGCTCAGCTCGTTGAAAAGTCGACTCTGGACCAAGCCCAGGCGGAGGCACTTAAGGCTGCGCTAACTCAGGAGATTGCTTTGATTCAAGGGCCCCCAGGCACGGGAAAGGTGACGAGGCTGATGACCCCTCCCCTTCTGTATTTAATTACAGCACATCCACCTGATCTCCCTTTAACATTGTTTGTTTTCTCCCTTCCCGTAAATCGAAAAGGTACTGCAAATTTGTTGTGCTTCTCTGCGGTCCGTTTCCTCTAGGCCAGCAAAAGGTAAGGTTGTTGGACACGAGTGTAGAGAGTCTAGATACGTAAGAGATAAGAAAAGTTGTGAAACTGGGGTCAATGTTGGCAGCGAAAGAAAACAGTCTGTCCCAGTGCAATGACTTGCTGATTTTTTTTTACTGCCGAGACTGATTGCGAGGCTGTATAGTACAGCAGTAGGTTAGATTCGCAGTTTTGTTTGGCTGAGGGCTAACCGAGAGACCTACCTGTAAGGAAATTCGTGAGGGACATATCTGTAAATCTGGGAAAATATAGGCCCAGTACTAACTCGAATTCCTACAGCTACGCTAACTGCGTATAGCAGGCCCGGGCTACCCCTAGGACAGACAGGCCCTAAGTGGCCTATGCTGATAGACGGTCCTATAGCCTATAGCCGGGTCCGGTAGAGGCCGAGAGGCCGAAACAGCAACGGTACCGGTCGGTCAGTCAGTCCAGTCTAGGTCTAGTGTAGTCTATAGATAGGTTAGGCCCATCGGTTCAGGACTTTTGGCAGTTCTCATTTCTCGTGAAGCAGCGTTGGAGAAGCCAAGCAAGTTGGTGGCGGTGACTGTCTGCAGGCGGTATCCTGAGACCTCGCCGTTGACAGCAACCATAGCCGGCCCAGTCTGAGTCTGCCATAACTGGGGCATCCTCAGCGCATCTACCCCTGGGGGTATCTGCGTCTGGCCGGGCTATACCGAGGCTCTACACTGTGTGTTCGTGGGTGGTGGCAGCCATAGCTGCCTGTTCCTTCGTCAGAGTTGTCCATCGGCACTGAAGACTTCATCGCCGGACCTGTTCTTCATCAGGGTGGTTGGCGCTGGCCTCTGGGAGGCTGTTCTAATATGGCGCTACTAACTGGGTGTAGGATAGAGAGTGGGGTGTGAGTTCTGAGGGTGGCGAGATACCGGAACAAACTTTGTCACGATAATTTGGTTGAGTGGTTCATCATCAGTGTGAATTTCAATTGTGATCTTCGCAGGTTCTTTCTTGTGATTGGTTGTTGGGAGTTGTGTCAGAGAGTGAGAAACACTGTGTGTCTTCTCCCCATCTGTGCATGATTGTCTTCCGCTGCTTATTTTTACCTGTGTGCAGTTTGGACTCTGTCTCCCCTCTGTGAGATTGTCTGTGTGTGAGTGGCGATAAAATTCGTCAGACAACCAAGATCATAACACCAGCCCCTCATTTGTGGTCCTCTTCTCCCTCCCTGCCTACGGTTCACCAGGCGGTTCTCTATGATATGTAGCCTCCTGATGAGTATGTGAAACTCCAATGAAACAGTCTGTCAAAGCGCATCGTTGGTTGTCCTCTTCTCCCTGTGTGCCTACAGTTTACCGGGCAGTTCTGTTTGACTCTATAATGAGGTCTATATATATGTGTGTGTGTGTGTGTGTGTGTGTGTGTGTGTGTGTGTGTGTGTGTGTGTGTGTGTGTATCGTCAAACAGAGCTGCCCGGTAAACCATAGGCAGAGAGGGAGAAGAGGACAACAAACGAGGGGGGGCTGTGACAAGCTGTTTCGTCGGAGTTTCACGGACTCATCAGGAGACTGAACCCTCAACAGTCTGCAGAATCCCCTGACTGATTACACTGTAAGTGATAAATTGATAATCCACCTTAACCCCGGATGTTTGACGATATATATTTGTCCTCTTCTCTCTCTCTGCCTACGGTTTACCGGGCAGTTCTGTTTGTCAGGTAGAGCGGCAGTGGTCGGGGCCGTTACTAGGCGGCCATGCTGTGCCTATAGTGCCAGCGGCGTGTCTGGAGTGTATTTTTTGGCTGTGACAGACCTTTCTTTGTTTCGTGGATGTTTTGCTGGCTTGTGATGGGGTGTGAACCGGCAGTCTGTAGAGTTTTCCATCTGGTGTGGGTGAG